CCCAAACCTCACAAAACCTGCTGTTGGAGTATGGCAGGTTTTGGGCAGTTAGGGTTAATGTGCCAAGGGACCAATGAGGAAAAACCAGAAGTGCAATCCCTCCATTTAATCATTTCATAGTGAGATGGACGAATGGACTGTAAACTGCAACACCTATGTGCTTGGGTTACTATTTGAATGTTGGGAAATGAAGTGGAGTGGAATAAAGACTGACGTTTGCTACTGATAGGGGAGGGTTCAGGGTGTAGTTGGTATAGTGTAGACAGGGTCCCTCCCTGTTAATTAGCAACTTGTATATAACCATAGGGTTCTCTGGGCCCCCAGACACGGTCAACAACTCAACCTGATATTGTTCATAGTGTGTTAGAGGACGGATCTTACCTGATGGGCCATCAGGAATAGGTTGGCTCGGTGCGGCTAAAGAGAAAAGATAATACAATCTTTACCTCAACACGATTTCCAGGTTGAACTCGGTCAACACAGCTGGACGTTTTGGTTCAATGCTAAAGCTTACAAATAATTAAGAGGTGTGGATGCCTTCTGACAAATCACCAGGTACCGATGTATCTTGCAAAGGTATACAGAAAGCATTTCCATCCTGGTAAGAAAACCAATTTATCACCTATCTGGAAATCTTAAAGACCAATACAGCAAAGTAATGTATTACAATTGCAAACATACGATGTACACGTGGAGTCTATAATTGAAATTAACGGGAAACATACCATGTCCAATGTACTCCTTCCATCATTTGTTTTTAGCAATACCTGTTAATTGCTACATCCACAGAATCTCATAAAAGAGTAGTAGTCTGGTTGATTTTGATACGAGAGCGGAAGTAACCGATACAAGATAGGAAACAAATTAATCCATTCTTTAACTTGCAGTGGCCTAATTCCTAGCTCAATCGAAATTCAAATTATTTCAAATTTCAAAATGAAGAACAGGTTTTGCCCTTATGCTGACGTATATCAACAATGTACACTCAGTACATGTCTGAATCTGGGTGGGACTCGAACCCACGACCTCCTGTTTATGAGTGCGGACGTCTTAACCACTTGACCACCGAGCTTGCCGGGGTCGGCTGGCCGGTCCGAGTCAGATGAGTGTATTGTGTTAATTAATATATGTCTGTATAAGGCACTTAAATGAAGCATACTTTTGGTCGTTGCTGAGACAATGCCCAGGAAGTAGGTCCCTGTGCCCAGGTCGTTACGTCCTCGTACGGTGAATTCGTAGTCCGTCTCCGGGTTGAGGTTGGTGATGGTGTAAGACGTAGCATTGGGCGGCACCACGTCCACGTATTGGTACTGCAGGTTGCCCTTCTGGTTAAAACGCACCTGGAAGGTCTGGGGACGGCCTCCATCAAAGCCTGTGTGTAAGAGAGGAACCAGGATTAATTTTTTTGGAGCATTTATGGGCAAGCCCAGGGGCAAACTGGTTCTACATCTTATTGACAATGCACGACCACAGTACATTGCGAACTATTCTGCTGTAATTATATATAACGGGTTTGCCCTTGCCCAACGTTAAGACATCTGCACTAGTAAGCAGGAGGACGTGGGTTCGAGTCCCACCCGAGTAAGCTTGTGAGGTTTTTTTTCGCAAGCTCTCGGACAATCACTGAGCATACAGCGCTTATTAATATACGTTGGGTAAGGGCAAACCCGTTATATATAATTAACATCTCCCCAACGCAAAAAATACATCTTGAAAATATTCTGCTGTAAGCTACACTTCTAGCAGTGATCATGGCCAATGACATTTTGTACAATGACTAGAATGGAGAAGGTTTCCTCCATACTCATAAATCCAATCAGCTATTGATAACCAGCTAAGCCACCATATACCTAAGGGCCCCGTTGCAAATGGTTGACTAGATGATCCAAACCATCTATCGTTCACACAACAATAATTAAACTAAATACACACAGTTGATAGCTAACTATGATTGGCGCTCAAAATTGCAATGTACACCGAAGTTAACAATACAAACACTTGACAAGAAGAAACATGGAACCAGCCAGAATATCAATCAAGACATGCTGCTTGTGGTGACTAGTTCTTCACTATGAGTAGCTGAGCTCACCAAGGCACTGAGTAATGTATTTATACTATTACTTCTGTGAGATTAGAAAGGGGTCCAATATCTTTATATTGAGACCAACATATATCATTTGGCACTACAACTAAATGTCAAAATATTTTGCTAGGGCCTGAGGTATTTGCTCTTGTGCGAGGACTGCACAGGACCATCTGCCATTACTACTTGGAAGTCACTCGTCATGTATCAGTTGCGTACCTGGTTGCCACCTGAGTTTGACAGAGTCGTGCTTGACTGTTACCACCTCCAGGTCAAAGGGCGCTTCGGGTGCACCTGAAAGTAGGAGGGTAAAAAGTTCACCATTTTGTCATGGCTCAAGCATGCTTATGAGTTCACCCGCTTTGCCTGATTGGTCAGTTGTCAAAATCGAATGATTTGAGTACGGCATGGCAGTAGCAGGGTGTATGGCCTAGGCCTTACTAGTCTGTTCCAGCTGAACGGAAAAGGTGGCCTCTCCCAGATCATTGTAGGCTTTGCAGACGTAACTGCCGTAGTCGTAGTCCTCGTTGACAGGGCCAATGTAGAGACGGCTCTCGTAGCGATTGGAGTAGGTCAGGTCTTGACGGGTGTCAAAGGTGTAATGGTCACTGGTCACATTCACCTGATCATAATGGACCAAAAAAAGGGGCGATGC